CGTTCATTTGATATTGCTGAATCTCCATTTCAGTTTTCACTGATCATACTTGCTTTTTTCTATAGTTCCAAGGTGAAAGAACAGAAGACTGTAACATTTATGTCTTTCTCCAGGAAAAAGAGACCGTACTCTCCCTGTAGAGAGGGAGTTTGTCTTATATATCTTATATCTACTTCACATATGCCTTCTGTATAACAATCACTAAATATATACCTTGCCTATGCTATCTCATGCTAATTTTATGACACCGAGCAAGCAACCTACACTGGCTGTTTCTGCTTCCTTATCTGTTTCATTCTTTCTTCAATCTGGCTTTTAACCCTGCATTCTCCTGAGCCTACTCTTGCTAACAGACCTTCTAACTGCCACATCCAGTGGATACTTCTGTTCTCTGTGGTACTGTCTGCTGTCCTCCTTCCCTCATCTTTCACTCATGCTTCCATGCCTCCACACCTCCATGCTCTCCACGCCTCCATGCTCTCCACGCCTCCATGCTCTCTTGGCCTCTGTGTGGTTCTTCCTTAGTCTCCTCTTTATGCCCTCTTCTACCACCTCACCAAAGTTGGTAGTCCCCAGAATTATAATTTATCTTCCCTTCCCATCTCATGTATACCTTCCCTAACATGTTCATCCTTACCTGAGACTTTGACTGTACTCCTGACTCCCAATCTACATTTCCAACTCTCACCTCTCTCCTGAGCCTTGGTCCTGTATCTCCAACTGCCCTACTTGAAAGCAGCACCACCAGGGCAGCCTCTGAAGCACATAAACTTAATTTGTGATTTCTTCTTCACCCTCCCAATCTGGCCCCTCTCCTGAGTTCTTCATCTTAGTTCATAACATCACTGTTAACCCAGTCATCCAAGTTAGGAAAACTTAAATTCATTTATAATCCATGAAACCATGAAAAATTATCTTCTAAAAACCTTAAAGAGAGCACTTCATACTCTCAAATAAAGACTTCCATTGCCCAACTACTGACTCTCAGCAGAAGAGCACCTTCTTTGTCTTCAGCATGAAGCACCAGGCCTAATCGACTCCGACCCACTTCTGGCAGATCACCTCCTCCCACATCCCCAGGCTACCCTATGCTTGAGCCCCACTGGACTATTTACAGTGTGAGATTCTTTCACATCTCTAGTCTTGCATATGGTGCTGCTGACACCTACAGCAGTGATTCTCAACAGGGCACAATTTTGCCCCTAGGGGACATCTGGCAATGTCTGGGGACACTTTTTGATTGTCACACTGGGAGAAAGGGGTGTTACTAGCATTTAGTGGGTGGAGGCCAGGGATGCTGTTAAATATCCTACAGTGCACAGGACAGCCCCCACTACAAAAGTGTCCAGCCCAATATAATAATGCTGAGATGGGGAATCCCTGCCCTAGAATCTCTTTGATTTCTGTCTGATGAACTCTAGTTTACCTATCAAGACTCGGTTCAAATGTCACCTCCTCTGGGAAACCTTCCTCTACCAACCAGGTCCTCTCTCCAGATGAATAATGTCACATCTTTCTACTTTTTCATACACACCTCTATTTAGCACATCACATATTAGACTGAAAATTTTTATGTTTACCAACATGTCCCTATTACCAGAATGGGAGGTCCCCTAAATAGACACTGTATTTTACTCATCTTCTTTTCTCAGTGCTTGGGACAGGGCCTGGCACTCAAATGTGTACTGGATGAATTAAACAAGACACATCTACAGAGAAAACAAAATATTTTCAAGCAAACAACTCAGCACTCTGAACCTGTCTGAAATTAATGATTCCTCAGTTCTAAGAAATATACATGTACAAATATACATTTTTCACCAACTTTCTAAAACTAGTCATTAACATTATGGCATCACATTTTAGAATATTTATAAATTACATTGGTTTTTATAAGTGTTGCTCAAAATAAATTTAACCAAATCTCTCTAAATATTCTGCTAAATTTAGTAAAATAGGGACTGGAAAATAATGGAACATTAAAGTAAGTATATATTTAAAACATCTATTTTAGGAAGAACAATTAAATAAGAAAATACTGAAATGTATAATCTTGAGATCAGTGTTAAAGGCTTTGAAATAATTGAGACATAAGTTTATTACAGTTCTACTATACTAGAATAGTAGCAATTTACCTATTTAGGATTAAGTTACAGATAATGAACAAAAACTTTTATAACAAAAAGAAAAAAATGTAAAAAATAATTCTAATGAAAATATGAATATAAGCAAAGAATGGAAGACATTCAAGCTTGGGCAAAATGCTAATGCACATTAAATAATAGGGTACTGAAATCTCTGAGCATCCTAACAACATAACATAGGAGATTCAGAAAATAACAGATGGGGGAAATAAAATAACAGTAGAGAAAACTAACTACTATACAGATTTAGAAATCTGAATAGCAATCATTTTTATAACTGTATACGTAGTACCTTAGTTCCTTAACCTGCTTCTTGATTGAACTGCCAAAATATTACACATACTGTTAAAATATCAAATATTTATTTTCAGATCAAAAGTCATTATATAGCCTTTACAAAAGTAATATTGTATTTCAAAAGGCATACATAATAAACATATGCCAGTCACTGTTATGTTGTTTGCTATGCCTGAAATAAACATTATGCAGACAGACTACAAACTCTCATCTTCACTCTAAGTTGTAAACACAGAACACAGACAGTGTCCTAGAATCAGGTAAAAGTTCTCACTAGATTTAAAAACTCAGTCATTAATGAGCTATTGATTATAGAAAGTTAGAAACTCAATCTTATACTGCTAGAGACTGGTAGCTAAACATATAAGAAAAGAATGTGTAGACTCTCAGTGCTTTAGAAACCAGGGTCTCTGACCAAAGCAGTGATTTAATTTCACGACTGCTCAGTACAGATAGCTGACATTACCAAATGCTACTCTAATATCAACTTGTTAAATGTGAATCCAGACTCAGCATATCAGAATACTAACCCAGACTAACTGGAGTCATGGGAAATATTTTGGGAGCTGTTTATTTATAAATGAGTTACAATATACCACTATAATTAGATTAATATATAATTATTGATAAACACAGGATTATTTCTAAAACCCATCATTGTTGCCACTGCTATATTTAGAAAAAGCAACACTAGAATCTTCTTCATAAAACAAGCCTTGATTTATCAATTAGATCTATTTAGATATAGTATAAATTAAATTTAACTGTCACTGTATGGTTTACAATGCTTTTATAAAGAGAAGTCTAATAAACATTAAAAGGGGGACAATTTAAATCTCCAGCAAACTGCACACTTCTGAACTACTTTATAATCCAAGAATCTACCAAAAGATAGAATCTGCACAAAGTTGTACATTTGATTGTTACAAAAAATATTTAAGTTAGCTTACCTGAGCATAAATAACCAGTAACAATGGATATTTTTAACAATGCAAAAGGCATTTGATCCACATTTCATTAAAAAACACATTTAAAATACTCTCTAAAAAGCATCCACAACAAACTCTAATTATTACCATAAAATAAACTATTTTAAGGTGTTTCTACAAATATTTATACATGAATTACTCCTTTCAGGTTAATTATTTCATTACGTGTAAAAGAAATTTATAAGTAACATTAATTCAATTAGCATAGTATTAATGTTTCTTCTCAGTGCCATTTCATTTCTTCCTTTTAGGAAGAAAAATAGTTGATTGGATTATAATCTCCTAAAAGCTGGTTTTAGAAAAGTTTCCTAAATGGAATTAAAAATTGTAAAATATAGATCAGAATTTGAAATCTGATCTTTTTTTATCCTAGTAAAGTAGTGGCTTATATTAACATCTGGGCATTGGTAACAATTGTTATATTTACCAGATTTCAGAAGAGAGAAAATAAAGTAGCAATTACTATTTTATTCACCTAAAGCTACTTATCTAGAAGATTTTTTAAAAAAAATCTTTAATAAACATATTGGATGTTACAAAAACACAGATAAACAGATAAGGTTCCCCCCCCCTCAAACTATTATGTACTGTCATGTAAAATTGCTTTAGTTAGAAAATTTTTTAAATTTCTTGGAATCTGGCAAAACATTCCAAATACAGAAATTTTAAAATTCTATTTCAGTTCAAACCATTTTAAATACTTTGGAAAGGCCAAATTACATAAAGAACTTTTGGCTAAGATTCAAAAGAGTTAAATTATTAATATAATAAAGTTGAACTGTCAAAAATGAAAAGGTAAATAGAAAATTGTGGGAAATGCCTAGCAATTTAAACCAAATTCAAAAATATTAAAACTTAGAATTCAATATTGTTGAGTGAGTGAGTTACATTTTAGAAGGCAGTATTAACTCGTGGCTCAAGAAAAATAGGGTGGAAACAAAATTCCATAGTTAAGGGTATATATAAATGCAAATGCCATTTATTTTTCCTCTGCTTTAAACATGCAGCATAATAGTTTTTATGAATGATCTTATCAATACATGTATTTTAGAGATATAGTTCCTCTATGATAATTTATAACAAGATCTTCACACTTTGATATGGGTATTTGTTTAATATTTTAAATAAGCATTCTAAATTTTACTCTATTTCACAATGATTAAGAAGGGGAGAAAGCAAAATGCTGGTTTTGAAAATAGGAATAAAATACTAAGCTACAAAATAGAATAGTATACCATTTAAAGGAAAAAGATACCAAGATAAAATCTTATGAAATAGACTGTTATTCAAAGTTTGTTTTTATGTTGTAGAAAAGTTTTACAGCTTAAATCACTTAGGAAGATTTTTTAAAATACACATTTTGTACATTGGTAAAATAACAAATACAGTAAAAAACTATACATAGGGTTCTTCAGATTTACAAATATAAAATGTATGACTACAAAGTACTGCTAGCTAAGGACCAGGAAAATATATAAAACTGCTTGGTTATAACAATAAATTTTCTCCAAATATTTCATTAAGTTATTCTCATGTAAATTAATATTTACCAAGATCAAAGGAAACTTACCTTGCAAGAATTAGACAGTTCATTTGTGCAATCTCTGTTGCTGTCTCTTGATAAATTATCCACTTTACCTTCATTTCCAGATGCAAACTTTATGAGTAACTGAGATGGTCCCCCTTTAGAACAATTGTGCTTAAGGCTGGATAGACAGGAAATATTTGGATAAGCTCCTCCCAATGAAATACTTCTTTGTAAAATACCATGGTTTTTGTTCATCTGTGAATTTGGTCTTTCCAATTCTCCACTGATATTTATTCGATAATCTACATTTTGGGAGGATGGCAAACATGCAGATGTCCTATGCGTGAGCTTAATATACTCTGAATCAGAATTAAGCTTAATTTCTGACATTTCTGGTTTACAATCACCATTTGTTGTTTCACAATCTAATGTAGTTGTTTTTTGTTGGGTGAAATGCACTGAAACACAAGAATATCCTTCAGATGACTTTTCACAGACAGTCTGTTTGGGAGTATTATTCGAAAGAACAATTTTCTTCTGTAACGAGCCCTTCCTGTGAAGTGGCCGTATGTCTCTTACTTCTCCAGGGGTACAAATTGTTTTAGATAACCGAAGTCCATTGACAGCTGTTGAAAGAAATCCTTTAGCACCAGTGCCATCCTCATTATGTGCAATTTCACTAGGAGAAATTATAAACTGGTGTGAAGTTTGATAGGATCCTTTGCTCAGAAGAGTACATGGACTTGTTGGAGAAGTCGGTGGGGTATTTGAAGGACTCCTAGGAAAAATGACTAAGGAGGAGCAACGTTGTAGTGGAATTTTTGTGTTCCTGCTCACTGGCAATTTCATAATCTCTAACCCATGTTCCAAGTCATCCTGGACAAAAGGATCTGTACTTGTACTTCTCGAAAAAATTTCACATGGAGTAGTATTCCTGTTTGGCACAATTCCACTGGAGGTGCTGTCAGAAGGTAAGTTTCCACCCAAAAAAGTATCATCACTTGGTGGCAACGTATAACTACTACTGTCACTGATGACACTGTTAGTGTATGAACCTCCACTTGTGATACTTGCACATGACCCGAAATCACTACCGTTGCTGCTGTAAGATCCATTATCACTGGTTGAAAAGTTACTAAGGCTACCACTACAAATGGCTGGACTGCTTACAAGGTTACCATCATTCACTGCATTCAATTCACTATCGACCACAGCACTGCTGTAAATACCATCCTTCAAGATACCAGTAAATGAAGCATCATCACTATCAGCTAAGACATTGCTAGACTGAAGATATCCACTGTACCTTGTTGGCTGTAGTGAAATCTGTAGACAGCTGCTCTTTTTATTAACATTTTCAGATGAGGGAACAGACGATCTTTCTTGAGACTGAACGTTTTCCTTTATTAACGGAGCTAGTGCAGTCTGTCTGGGAGTCAGCTTCATTTGAACAACGTTGGACGCTGAAATCCGTGTTGGTCTCTTGAAGCACATGTGAACATGGCTATCCAAGTCATCTCCAGAGGTTTCTGACAAAGGGTAAGTATTGCTTCTTCTGGCTGCAAAGTGCAATCGTAAGCTTTGTGCCATTTGTTCTCATTTCCAAACATGTTAAGGGCTGAAAGTCATAACAAAGATCTCTGTCCGTAGACAGGCTAGAAGCAGCTGCACTGCATCAAAAGAAAAAATCATCTGTGGTGCCTAAAAGAGCTATTAAGTAGTAGTCTTTATCCTAAGTAAAACATTAGATACCAGATATCACAGAAAGAAAAAGACGACCCATTCCAGAGACTGACGTTTCCAAAATGTCTTGAATCGCTTGTAGGCAAAATGCCTTCACTTACAAAGCACTTGATTTCCAGCGACCTTTAAGCTGAGCTCAGCTGCAGCACACTGACTCAAACACAGCCAACCTTGTTTCAATTATACCTTCTCCAATTTGCATGAATGAGTAACACAAGAACAACAATCTTCTAACATTTCATGTTGAAACAGTATTTTTTCACCCCAGCTCTACTAAATGAACATTTAACTATGTGAATCGCAGTGCCTATACTTTCTCCAGCCAACTTTGACCACTAATATTTTTACCCATAGGTATAGAATTACAGGAAGTTGGTAGGAACGAAACCCCATGTAATTAAGTATCAAATCAAAGATTGAATTTCCAAATAGTAGTCATACTAGGAATCTAGTCAAGTTAGTTAATAGAGGGACTGTTCATTTTTTTTTTTTAATTTGTGAATTCAAACAGTTCTGTAAATTTGGAAATACCAAAACTTTAGGATGAATTAAAACTTTAGCACTACATCAAACAGATACATATTTTAGCTTCTAAAGTGCTAATTACATAAAAAGTGAAAGCTTAAGGACAGAACTACAAAATTAACCTAGTAATACCATTGCAAAACTGAAGCATAGGTTCAAGAAAAAAAGTTTAAGAGAAGCTGTCACTAAGCATTTTCTCCTGTAATTTTAAGGCCTTTTCCAGCCAAGTAGAACAGTCTTTAAATGATGCCATTTATATTTTGACTATTAAAACTCTGCCAAGAAATAGCCTAAGCAAACATTCCAATAAAAATATATGCAGATTAGAAAAAAAAAAAACCTATACCCCAAGATAGTTTGAACACATAGGATATTTTATTCCACTGTCTCTGCAATTCATTCACTTAAGAGAGTGTTGTGGTAAGTAAAGAAGTCTAAAAAGGATTTAACACATCAAATAAACATATCTCAATGCCAATTCTGTTCTGAAAAACTCTAAGAGCTCTTTGCTGGCCCCTGCTGGTGCTTTGAAACAATCCATTTAGCTGTTTGATATCTATAAAGAAATACAAACCAAGCTGTACATTTCTTTATATAAACAAAGTACATACTTGTTTACATTTTTGAGAGCTAGCCCTGCCCTAGAGGTGGAATTACTCAGCAGTGCTGATAAAGCTTCCACAGTAGAGAACACTGGACTGTTTGTCCTTTTAGAGGTTGTGATTTTGTATATATTTTTTCTGCTTTGTATTTATTTAACCTTTATTTTCAGTTTACTGGGTAATAAAAATTTAATATTTTAATTTCTCTCCCAAATGCCATAGACCAAGGTTGGTATTCTATTTGAAAGAAACAAATTTATTTTTAAATAATACTCTAGGGTATATTAAAACCCCTTACCTAAATTTTATAGCTGGAACTCCAGTAATAAATATATACTGGCTCATTCATAGGAAAGTAAAAGGTAAAATAGTTCCGTTGTTTATACCACATGCTACTCAACCCAAGTTGTATTTTTCTAAGTAAGTTTTTTTTTCCTAAGTAAAAGTAAATATGTAAAACATAAACTTTGTTTTAAAAAAACTGCTTAAGATACATCTGTTTTCGATTAGAATTTTCTAAACAGATATTTAATCAATTAAAACACGACAAAATAGAATTATGGGAATTTATTGAATTATATTTGACTAGAATGAAACAGCATTGTGTTTTCAAATGTGTACAATAATTGGAAATTTAGTAATACAATTATGATGTTATTTTGGTTTTGTATAACCTATCTCCTTTAAGATTTTACAGACTTCAGTCAATATTCCCTTAACATCTTTTTCTTTTAAATAAGGAGGAGTCCTGTTTTACTCTGCCTTCAAATGACTTCAGCTTTCTTTCTGGGATTAAGTGTGGGGTCTAATAACTCAAAGAATGAATCCCTTCTAATAGGCTAATCAATGAGATCTAATTGTTCATGTCTGTGGCCTATAACTTTCTGGAAATAAGAAAAGCTCCTCTGATTATTAACATATAAAATAATGAGCTCCAAGTATTTGGCCAGATAAATGTCTTCTCTTTGATAAGCTTCACTATAAGCATTAGTTCCATGTCCCCTAACTAGATTTTAACTTTCCAGAGGGCATGGACCATAACTACACAGTTCTTCTGGGGCTCCTGAGCTTGTCCTGGGCACAAAGTAAGTACCAAGAGACACCAGAGAGAAGCCTGGATGGATAGATGGATGGTGTCACCACAGGCACTCTGAATGCCTGACACTTTCTTTCAGGACTTTTGTTATTGTTGTTGTTGAAGTTGATCCAGCTGCCACTTATAAAGAAATATCAAAAAGCACTGCAGGTGGACAAGAAGGAATGACGTTTGAAAAATTTACAGAGAGGGTCTCAGCCAAGGAAAAGTAAGGTAAGAGAATCACATGCACTTCCTAGCACTCGAGTCTGAGTTTAAATTCTAGGGAGGCTGAAGAGTTTTGACTGCTGGCTGAGGTCTGAACATAGGATCTATACTGCTATTACAGCAGTTGCATGGGAAATCGGGGAACTTGCTATAAAACGTAATTCCTCAGTCCAGCAAATACCAAACAGGAGTGTTAACCCTAACCTTAAGAGTAGAAGAACCGGAGGGACACGGCAGCCCTCATCTGGAAAGAATCCATGCACGTCCTACATAGAATTGCATATTCTGGAGTGAAACAGATTGAAGCTAAGAACCCCACATTCTGAGCTGTTGGTTACTGATCATCTACACGGAAAATAATGTAATTATCTACATGGTGTGGATAGGCTCTGGGTAATCTTAATCATTGACTGAACTTTGAAGGCCAAAGTCAGCTGCGGCGGTTAATTGTATGTATCAACTTCGATAGGTTATGGTACCCAGTAGTTTGGTCAAACACCAGTATAGACATTGCTATGAAGACATTTAGACATGATTAGCATTTACATCAGTAGACTCTGAGTACCACACATTACCCTCCACAATGTGTGGGGGTCTTACCCAATCAATCAAGGGCTTTGAGAGCAAACACAGGTTTTGTAAGAAGAAGCAATTCTGCCTCAGGACTACAATGTAGAATCCCTGCCTAAGTTCTCAGCTTCCTGGCCTGCCCCGCAGATTTCAGATTGCAGTCTTCACTATATACATACATAGTGTGGAAATATATGTATTCATATATTACACATAATTTCATATATAAAATGTATGAAAAATAAATAATACGTAAAATATGTACACAATCTATTGTTTCTGTTTCTCTGGAGAACCTTCAATAATACAACTGCTAAATCTGAGAAGCACAAGGTCTCCACCCAGAATATAGGCAGCTCCTAAAACCGGTGGCTGAATGTGTACAGGTGTATGTCTTAGACTGGTGACACAGTGCTAACTTTTGCATTGGTGGGTAGAATTTTTTTAAGGCACATCATTCTGAAATATTCTGTCATTATTGCCACCACCACCACTACCATCACCATAATGAAACGACTATATTTTAAAACCCTAAGTCTTAAAATTGGCTGGAAAACAATGATATAAGCCTACTCTTTCTTGAAAGCAAATATCACTTATATTGCAAACGTTTTCCAGATGACTAAAGTTGTTTCTGCTTAATATTATACTTGTGTTTTTCACCCTCCATTTTCAAAGAGAAATTGCTAGGAAAACGGTACACTTTAAATTTAGTTGTGAGTGCCTCAGCAGAATAAAGACGGAATGACATTTATAATAACATAGATCACTTGTTGCTATACAATCAGGTCTGTTACTCCACCAATGGCTATAGTTTCTATAACATCTCAAGTCATCTCTCTACCTCCCTTACCTGCTGAGACTAGCAACAAATCAGAGGACTAGAATGACACACACCACCCTGTTCTAATTATCTTGGCTCTTTGTTTTGCTAGTAAACCGAGTTTCTCAAGAAAAGCTGTATTTCCCATGCACAGAAGAGCATCTAACACAGTAGATAAACTAAATGGTATATCTTAGCTAACACAAAATATACCATATCAGACAGCTACAAATGCGTAAGTCCATGAATGTTAAATAACACTTTATATCTGTATCATCATAAAGAATTTTCCAAGTATTTTCATAGTCACTGTCCCATTTTATCCTCACAACATGCTTATGAGATAGGCAGGGCAAATACTGTTGTCCTCATTTTTCAAATGTGAGAAGGTATTTTTAGAAGGCCTGAATAATTTGTTTAGGGTTACAAGCTAATGCCCCCAAAGAAATGCAGGATTATAATAGAATTTCTTAGTCCTTAGTGTGGGGATCTATAACAACTTTTTTTTCCCCCCCGAGATGGAGTCTCACTCTGTTGTCCTGGCTGGAATGCAGCGGCGTGATCTCAGCTCACTGCAACCTCCACCTCCTGGGCTCAAGCAATTCTCATGCCTCAGCCTCCAGAGTAGCCGGGACTACAGGTGTGCACCATCACGCCCGGCTAATTTTTGTATTTTTAGTAGAGACAGGGTTTCACCATGTTGGCCAGGCTGGTGTCAAACTCCTGACCCCAGGAACATCTCCTGATCCGCCCGCCTCAGCCTCCCAAAGTGCTGGGATTACAGGCGTTACAGTATCTTGATTAATGTATTTTGTTTTTTTTCCTTTAGTTAAAAGTTTTAAAAATTTTATTTGTCATATTTATCCATCTATAAATATCCAACTGTTAATATCAAAGGCAATGCTTTTTTCTTCCAACCTATCATGACGCACTTTATAGTATTATATACACAGTAAACGCTCAAGGAATGTTCATTTGCTGATCAGTGTTTGACAAACAGCCGTTCTGGCCATTAAGAAAGAGTCACACCAATACTAAAGTTACTAGCAAAACAGACCAGACCACATCTGTGTGGAAAGCACAGATGTGAGCTGTCCCTCCTTGTAGACAACATGCAAATAACGCAAATAAAATAGTTCACCAATAATACACCCAATGATAAGGCAGAATTCACATCAGTATCAGTGGCAACAGGAAAAATAACAGTAATACCATGATCTGGCAATTCAACTCTAAAACGTATCTCTTAGAGATACACTCAGACACGTACATACGGAGACATAAAAATGTTTATCAATTAGTAAGAGCAACATACTGGAAATAACACTAATAACACTAATATTAAGGAGGTTAAATACATAAATTATAGCATCATGATATTTTCAGAGTATAGAAAATTATGCATCATTGAAAGGTGTCATCACAGATCTCACAAATACAACGTTAAGCAAAAAAGCGTATCAGAGGAATGCCTACAGAGATATACTATTTTTATAAATTAAAAAATATGCAAAATAAACAAGGTGGGTTTTTGTTTTTTGGAGATAGAGTTTTGTTCTTGTCACCTAGGCTGGAGTGCAATGGTGTGATCTTGGCTCACTGCAACCTCCGCCTCCTGGGTTCGAGCAAGTCTCCCACCTCAGCCTCCCCAGTAGCTGGGACTACACGTGCCCACCATCACGCCCGACTAATTTTGTATTTTTAGTAGAGACAGAGTTTTGCCATGTTGGCCAGCCTGGTCTTGAACTCCTGACCTCAGGTGATCCACCTGCCTCGGCCTCCCAAAGTGTTGGGATTACAGGCATGAGCAACCATGCCTGGCCAACAACAATGTCTTTTTTAGGGATATATATGTGTATATATGTGATAAACATATTTTAAAAAGCAAAGAATGGTAAATACAAAATTGAGGACAGTGGCTACTAGTGGAGGAAGAAAAGGAGATGCTACTGAGGAGGGATCTAGGGAGGGTTTCAAAGATTTTGGTAATGTTCTAGTTCTTAAGCTGAGTAATAAGTGTGTATATACATAGTTGTCTTATTATTTAAATATTTATATTATGTGGGCTTTTTTGTATGTATATTTCATGATTTAAAAACAAAACACACACAAAACTCCACCAGTATTAAGTTTAATTTGTTTCCATCTAGAAGGGACCAGCCTGGCCAACATGGTGAAACCCCATCTCTACTAAAAATACAAAAATAAGCTGGGCAAGGAGGCGGATGCCTGTAATCCCAGCTACTTAGAAGGCTGAGGCAGGAGAATCGCTTGAACCCGGGAAGTAGAGGTTGCAGTGACCTGAGATTGCGCCACTGCACTCCAGTCTAGGCAACAGAGTGTGACTCTGTCAAAAAATAATAATAATAAATAAAGGAAAACAGATCTATAGAGACAGAGGGGAGAAAAAAGGAAAACATTTTATATTCTTTTAAAAAAAGCAAAAACACAGAAAACAAATAGCTCTGTAACTAACCATATTCGATAATCAAATCAGCGACATCTGTCACTCAGCCTTAAAAATCAGATTACCAGGCTGGGCATGGCGGCTCACGCCTGTAATCCCAGCACTTTGGGAGGCAGAGGCAGGTGGATCACGAGGTCAGGAGATCAGGACCCTCCTGGCCAACATGGTGAAACCCCATCTCTACTAAAATACAAAAAAATTAGCCAGGCGTGGTGGCATGCGCCTGTGGTCCCAGCTACTAGGGAGGCTGAGGCAGGGGAATTGCATGAACCCTGGAGGCGGAGCTTGCAGTGAGCTGAGACTGAGCCACTGTGCTCCCGCCTGGCAACAGAGCGAGACCCCAACTCAAAAAAGAAAAAAAAAAAAAAAATTAGATTGCCAGCCAGTGAGAGTCTTCTTCGGCAGCAATAATGTACTTTTGCTTACTATGATGTTTACTAAAGATTTCATTGGCAATATCTTTAGTTGCTAGTATAATTATCATTTCTTGAGGGCAAAAAACATGAATGTAGTTTAACACTAAAAACAGACTTTTTTTTTTTTTTTTAAAAAAAGCTAGTTTCTTTGTTAGCTAAAAAATGAACAAAACTGTTTAATTTTTCTGGTGCTTGTAACTGATAAGCTTCACACACATAACACTGTTTGTATACTTACCTGTTCAAATCTTACAGGTTTAAAATATAAATGTAAGCTGCTAAGAAGAGGGTTTGAGATTGGATCCTCAGAGACAACATTAGGAAAAGAATAGGACTTTAAGATAGTCTTTAGGAATTCAGAAATCAGAACAATCATTTTATAAAAAGAACATCATGTTTAACTTTGCTTTTTGCTTCTGTAAGAGCTGGCCATCCTTGAGAAAACTTTATTTGCTCATTCCTTATCAGTGTAAAAAGGACAGATTTCCTCTGTAGAAGAGTGGGGATGAGAGAATGGATAGTATGTCCACTGGATACGGGTAACCCTAAGAAAGACCACTGTAGTAAGGAGGCGCAACTGAAGGATACTCTGGGCGAAGATTCCCAGTGCCATGGACTCGGAACCAGGTGTCATGGACGAGTGAGAGGGAAGACAGGACAAAGAGGTTGATTTTCTGTCCTTTCCTGTCACAAGAGGTCTTCAGTAAGACCTTATAATATGTCGGCAATCAGAAGAGGTGCTTGGGAGGAGAATGGAAAGGGAGAGAGTAGCACCAGGAGGAGGAAAACAAGTTCTATCTCCCTCACCATTTTGCCCAGAGTCTCCATAACCACCCACAACCCATCTCTCAAATCCCAGATTGCCTACCCACTTCCCCTGGCTGCTGAAACGTACCCTTACTTCACGTACCCTTTCTCCTGAAACGTACCCTTACTTCATATTTCACACAAGCACAATATAACTTACCAATCGATTTTCGTCAAATACTTCAAAAAGAAGCCGGTGCTGCTGAGGATGAACCTAAGTAAGAAAAACACAATCTTTATTTAAAAACAAGTAAACATCAACCCACAGACACTGAGAAATAAATGCTTAAAGATGTTGCCATTTGATTGAGTGCAGTGGCTCATGCCTGTAATCCCAGCACTTTGGGAGGCTGAGGTGGGTGGATCACCTGAGGTCAGGAGTTCAAGACCAGCCTGGCCAACATGG